TTTCAACCACTTAATTTCTAACATTTTTATAACACCAGAGTGGCGTTTGCCTAAATTTCATTGACAATCTGCTCTGAATTACAAATCCAAAGAGAGAGTATCAAGGGTAGAGACCATGTAAAAGGATTAATGATAGTTAAAGCATGTTTGACCAACTTGTGAGCAGCATGATTACAGTCTCGAGTAGTCAACGAACCGAGCAGTGAGGGAATGTTGAAATAAGGATCGAGTTTGCAATCTTCTATGAAGTGTCTGATTTTCCAAGGAGGTGGAGAATCAGGGTACAACAAACTCTGGATCACTGTAAGAGAGTCTCCCTCAAGAATTAATGAAGAAACTCCCAGTTCTTGAATAAAACTGAGAGCTAGAAGTGCTGCCTGTGCTTCCAGTTGTAAAGGATCACCAAATGGCAGCTTCACTGATCTAGCATAGCAAAAATCTCCCCTGGCATCTCTGAGAAGGAAACCTTCTCCTCCTGCCGACGAAACCTGCTTCCATTCAAGTTGGTCAATGTAAACAAGGTATATTCTAATCTTGAAATTGGTATTTGTATCCATCACAACCACAGATAAAACCAAATTTATCAAACTAAACCGAACTTGTACGAATGTATATTTGCATTTATACTCTTAGCCAATGCAGTTAAACACTAGAAATGTCCTTTTGAGGTTTCTTCCAACACTTTCATGCACATGATCCGGTGTAAAAGTGGTTTGGCCATGTGAAGTTAAGACTTAAGGCTATGTTTGGTTTGGAGGAAAAGATAGGAAAAGGAAGGAAAAAATAAAAAAAAACCTGATTTATAAAAATTTTCCTACATTTTCTTACTTTTTCCTTCAAACCAAACAATGTAAGAGGGCTAGATCTAACCAACCAGATAAGTTTGTGACAGTCAGGAATCAAAACGAGAATGTATTATCATCGTATCAAACATTGTCCGTCATGTTGACAGATAGGGGTGTAGTACTATCAAAACCCGATCCAGCATCCAATCTGATTATATTGGATTTGAATGGTCTATATACATTCGGATCCGACACATATTTAAGTATTTAACCTCATCAGATATTATTAAAATCTTAGTCGAGTATAGGATTTAAATAAAACATTGTATCTTAGATGGATTTGCCCCAAGTAGAATATCATTCCTATCATGCAATATCATGCAAGGATGCCAGCGAAACATATTTAACCTCAACTCCATCAAGTTGGGATATGGAAATCGTAGAGGATGGGGAATGAAGTTTTCACTCTATTCTGATCCTGATTATATATATTAAATATTATATATGAAAATATATTTAAAATTTTCTTTTAATTTAAATAATTTTTTTAATATTTTTAATTAAAAAATTCAAAGATTTAGACCCCACATGAAATCTGTCTTTGTAAGAGATCAGGGATGGAGAGTAAAACTTTTATCCTGAAGGGGATCAGAATTGGAAATGGGAATCTATTTTAAAATTGGAGTCAAAAATAGAGAATATGATCCCATCCCCACTCAACCCGCCCCATTTTGCCTGTTAGAAACATTGATAGGATATGACACGCTAACCCATTCAGCCCCCTATCTGTCGTTTTCATCAAAGGAATGCCGAGGACAATTTCTCTTATACCCTACATGTTATACAAAATAGCCACGTCCTCTAATGACTTTCTAATTTTTTTTAACGTAGTACTTTGGCGGACCATGTATCATGTATGTATCGGATGTCTCCAGAGTCCAGATAAAATATTAATATTTTAGCCAATAAAATATTCTGATAGACGGCAATATTTATTTGTTCTTTTATTGCGCGGATGGCATTAGTATTGTTATCAGCTTGGATTACTCTCAGAAAACTATTAATTAAAGGGATGTAGATCAAATTCTCATGGCAATGGCATGTATTCAGATTGGCTTGGCGAATGGCGGGTGGACAATCGGATCCCACGCAATTAATAATATTGAAGACGCTTTGAGTGCTGAGTGACCATTTCTCCAACCTCCGTCCTCCGACACCACACTTATCTACCACCACGCTTTTCTTTTTCTTCTGTGTATCTAATTAAAACCCACCCTCTGAATTCTGATGATGAGTCACTTCATACACCAAAGCTGATCTACCATACATAATAATAAACATATGGCTATCTGAGATCCGACGTTCAGTGGACCAATTCAAATATTCAATCGGGTTTGCGATCCGCTTCTATTCTTCAATCCTCTGAGAATTGATTCCATCAACAGTCAATAAAGAAGAATACGAAATTCATATATTGAGGGGTTGTATTTGTGATTATAACCTGCAAAATCAAAATGTGTTGGGCCTGCTTTGGCCGATGCCAGTTGCTTGCTTGCCTCCACTAATAAATAAATGTTTGTTCCGTAGAGCAGCAGCCTTTCTTTCTTTTTTATTCTTTTTTGACGTGTATTATTTGGTGGTCTGCCGCTAATTTGCCTGCTCACTGCAAACGTGTGGTGTGGGCTGGGGAGTGGGGATCCAACGTTGGACGTTCCTCACCTCACGAGAAGAGGGACTGTAGGTGGTAGGTCAACGCCTCTTCCTTTATTAAACCCGAGGGACGATTGTAACGGTTGTTGGAATGGATACTTGGATCTATCCATCTTTCTTTATATAAAATTTTCTCTTTGCATTGGCCCCCAACTAGACCCAAAGCTTATTCCTTTGTTCTACGTCGAAACAATAATGCACCAACTTACAATAATCTCACGTTTTTGGATGGATGGACATGGAGTGGATAGATAGACAGATAGGGTATTGTGGGTTGTGGCTCAATGGGAATCGAGACCTTGCTTCTGATAGACGACCCCCTACTGGATGGACACGAGTTTCAAAAGAAAAAGATGCTTGGAAAGATATTCTCATATTCCTCCCTCCCCTTTCTTTCTGAACGTGTGGCTACTCATTTGTAACCTGTGGGAGTGTTTGAGTCAGGAGTGGTTTCAGCCTATCTGGAATTAGGATACATCAATTGGGCACGTCGTGTTCGTGTGTGTGTGCGTTACTTCAAGGATCAACTCATTAAAACGTATTGGGAGTTGGAGGCGTTTGCGACCATTCATTGAGGACTAATATCAAACATGCGTTGAAGGCGTTTTTGCCAATTGAAGCATATATAATCGGCAATTTAGGGCCCACGTTCACCACCTCTTCCTTCTTCTCTACTTACTTTTTTTGTTTTATTCTTCCTTTTGTTTTGTACTTTAAAAGGGCAGAGATAAATTGATTGTAATACAAAGGAAGAGAATGGATTTTTTTTTATTTTATCAATCAAAGGCCAGACTATTGAGTAATGAACTAATGACCATGATCTTCCCCCCGGCCCCATGAAACTTCTAATCAACTAAAGAATGAATGCGAGAGAGGAGGAGGAGACATGGAGTCAGATTCTTATTTCTTACAGAGAGTTACAGGACAAAGAGCAATGATTGCTCTGTTTACCTCTTACCTTGGGTTACTATTCTGCATTTAATTAGTCAATGTAGCTGTTACAGTCACTCGCAGGGTTAGAGGGGTGTAGATTAGACCTGTTCATGGGCCGGGCTTCGGGCCTGATTTACACTGTATCAGGTTTGGGCTTTGGGCTGGGCCCCATTCAAAATTTGGCAAAAGTCAAAGGCAAGCTCGGCCCATAAACAGGTCTAGTGTAGATATCAAGCTGAGAATCCAGGATTAAATTTCCATTCGTTCATGGTTCACGCACATGACCAAAAAGCAATCCGTCATGCTCCCAATACGTAGCCTTTCACATAGTTAGGATCGTTTGGTTCACAGTTGAATTCGGAATTGAAATCCTTCAGAATAGGAATCAGAATCGGAATGATCTATGCCCATAAAACAATAATCTGTTTGGTTCAGACGGGAGATGGAATGGGATTTCATTCGTTAGGGAGGGGGAGGGAATGGTCATTCCCTCAAATGTAAGGGTGCAAATGGATCAGATCATGATCCAATCCTATTTTGTAATTTGTGTTTTTCTTTATTTAAATTGTTATATTTTCTTTTTCTTTAGATAATTTCTTAACTTTTTAAAAATTAAATCAAATCAGATCATATCTACACTGTATTGGTGCATCCCTACTCAAATGGGGGAATACCATTCCACTAGGAAGAAAATGGGATTCTGACTCCCCCAACCAAATAATTGGAATCAGAATTACCATTCCAGACCCTTATTCCCACAAACCAAATGGGGTGCAATTCATACGTGCCAATCTAAGAATGCCAAATGTTAATTTGGGCTGGGCCAGGTTGGACAGATTGGTCATGACCTTAGGCTTAGCCGGGGCTTGGGCCTTAAGCCCAATTTGTAGGATTGAGTCTGGATTAACCTTAAACGAGGCTCAGCCCATCCCACTTGCACCCTGGTGACCCTAATGTCAACTGTTGCACTGGACTGGTTTGTACTAAGCTTTTCAAGTCTCAACAAGTTGTTGACCTAGTCACTTGGACTGATCAACCCATCATTATGATGGAAACCTTCTAACGCCATGTTTGGGAATGCTTAAGTTAAAAATAAGCACTCCCAACCATGCCCTAAGTGCTTTAGTTTGTTTGCATTTTCTGTATTTTTAACTATTTCTGTCATTACAATAATTCTTATTTTTTACACTTGTTACTGAATACATAATGTTACATGTCCAAATTTCTCTGGATTTTTTTGTAGTTTCTGTATTTTTCATCTTATTTATTTTTATGTTTTTTACTGCTTTTATTATATAACTAATGATGTCACAGGTTAATAATCCATTTGGCCCAGATGATTGAAGATTGAACGGCTCACCCACCACCCAGAGGGAAAAGCGGTTTCTCAATCAGTTTCCAAAACATTGGTTTATCCACATCTTGGGCAATTCCTTATTCATATTGGTGATTAATTGACCAGAAGAATAAATCAATAAAAAGGATCGTTTCAAAGTTATTTTTTCCCTCTCAGCTCTCAGGCTACAAGATATATACAGAAAAGAGAAGTGGAGAACAAATGAGATGCACATAGACAGAGAGAAGAAAACTGTGTAGTTTGGTAACTGCAATAGTCTATCTTACAACAAGCTGTCCTCCATATCACATGTGTAAACTGTAAAGCATGGAGCACAGAAAGTGATCCTTTTGATGTGGATCCAGTTAACTAATGATGCAATGGATGGATATAAACGTAATACAACATTATTTCTAAGAGGCTGATACTTCTAGTGTTTAGTTACTAAACATGGGCTGTGGGTCACACCATATATGTCATACTGACTTCCATTATATTCATGTGGGGAACACTCATATTTGCTGCTCCCGCTCTACAATTCCTCCTTAGGAAAGAATAGAAATAGTTTATCACCAGCTTCTTGATGAACCAAGAATCCTTCCGTGCCCTGACATCTCCATGTGCAAGAAGATACGTAAATCCTGAATTAATGGCCTCCCGAAGGGCTGAAAGCTCATACTCTAGACTTGGGTCTTCATCCGATGACATGACACTTGATGGCAAAATGGTCACAGGTTCTTCTAAAGTGGAAGTGCTTGCCTCTTCCATTCTCTGATCATGCATCAGTGGAATCTGAAGTTCCTCAACCCCATCAACCGGGAAATCGGAGTCCCTTGACCTCACTGAAATACTATCAAGCTCCATATCAGCTATGCTATTCTCCAATGCCATCTCCTGGGCCTCTCTTCTCAAAAACTTCTCAAGGCTCTCAACCAAAAGCTGCTCAAAGGCATTATGATCTTCCTTCCTTATATCTTTATACCCATAACGGGCGATGCATCGGAACATATGATAGTCCTTTGGGCACACCCTTCTGAATAGAAACCTTTCCTCTTGAGGTACTACCGGGACAGGAATGTACTTGATGCAGACAAACACAAGTGTAGAATGAATTGCTGGAAGGGTGAGCAGGAACTGGCCGAAAATGGAGGGAATGCCTTGGACCAGCTCGTTGTACAGCAATCCAATCCCTGGGACTCTGACGGTCCCTAGTGTAGACCCCAATTCTAGTAAGAAATCCATGGAGATCTTTTCCCTAACCTCACTCTGGTACTTCAATACACTCCCGTAGCTCCAGGTATACATAATACAGAGAAAGCAAGAAGCAAATGCAAGTGGCAACCAACCTCCCTCCTTGATCTTTGTTAGAACTGAAGACAAGTAGATGAGCTCCACTGTCCCAAAGACAAGTGGGAAACACAAGGCCAGAAACAAGTTGGTCTGCCATATAAGAAGCATCACAAGTGTCACTAAAGTTGTGCTTACCATCATGACACCTACCTCCGCAATGCCTAGCAAGAAACCAATTTGCATCAGTACAGATCATTCTGGATATTATTAAACATACCATTTTCCTGCTTACACTAAAAGTAACAAAGAATGAACTGAAATGGAGGATTTCACAAACTTGGCATTAAGAATACTTAACCATATGCATTTGCTATATCAGTGGTACTCCTGAAAGTGGCAACAACTATTATGCACATGATCATCAAGAACCAATTGATGACGGGAATGTAGATCTGACCCATGAACTTCCTAGAGGTGTGAACTATCTTCATCCTCGGGCAGCAACCAAGGGCCATAGATTGTTTGATACATGAAAATGTAGCAGAAATCATGGCTTGACTGGCAATCATGGCAGCAAGTGTGGCTATGACAAAAACAGGCCAGAAAAGAGCTTCTGTTCATTTACGACATTTAGATATTAGAATGGTTAATGTAAATGAACACATGACATGCATTTTCCAAGAGAGTTTATCTGAAGGCATTTAGAACCAAGCTGAATAAACTTGAGTTGTGACAATTTCTTACAGTGCATACCTGGCACAGAGTCATAGAATATCCGTTCTGCGGAAGAAGGGTATCTTATTAGATATGCAGCTTGGCCCATGTAGGCCAACATAAGGCAGGGAAACACCACAAAGGAGAAAGCAATCTGTAAGCACCAAAGATATTTGAAATTACAAGATAAGAAGGTATCATCATTGAAGTCTGTGGGTTCCATGAAATAATGATACCAAACAGGTCATTTATTAATAACTGAGAAGTACACAGATACCTGTATAGATAAAACAGAGAAATGACCAAGATCAGCAAACATTGCTTCAGATCCTGCAACCACATCCAAACAAGCAAATGTATATTGAGAAGTGATAAGTATTCCATGATGTGGTGATGCTATATATGATATTATGTTTCTATGATTATATAAAGATGATAATTCCAGTCCTTTATACATGTAATGGTACTGATAGCTTTGACAAACTTATGCCCTAGGGAAGACACGTGCATTCCTTTTGGAAAAGGTAGTTGGAAAGGAGATACTGTTTCTTGATTCACTAAGAATAATTATAGTATCTATCAAGATGAATCTTGTTCTTAAACATAGTCTTTAAGAAGATGGCCATTATAATACACCAGAAGCAGCTTTACACACACTGCAAACATGGGGAAGTTGGAAGCACCATTTAGTAGGTCTCACAGAGAAGAATATTTTACCAGAATCAACTTGATTGGAATTGCTATGTTCTTTAACGTGAGAAGAAAGAAACTCTAAACAGTTTATTGAAAATTAAAACAATTTTAATTATTTAAGGTTTTATTAAATAAGATGAAACAGAAAGCTATGGAGGAGAGATTTGCAAATATAACAAAGTAATTAAAATGAAGAACTGGGAGCAGTAAGTGCAAGGAACTAGATAAAAAATAAAATATCATTCAAATGTTGTGTTGCGCAAAACCCAAAAATGCAGATTCAAATGGCACCCAAAAACGAAAGAAAAACAGAGATAAAAAGAAGCACACAAAGAGGACACACAGATTTACGTGGTTTGGCTTATAGCCTATGTCCACAGGCGAAGGAGGAGCAAAAATCCATGATGTAATCTGTAATGGAGAATTGGAGAGGAATACAGAGCTGTGCATTCACAACCTCATTCACAGGAAACCCTAAACAAGTAAACTCCAAATACACCCAAAGTCTCGCTCTTCTCTCACAAGGCAAAGACCAAGTATACAAGAGAGACACCCCCCCCCCACATAACTCTTCGTATTCGGTTTGAACCATAAACTGAATATGGATCGGGTCCATTCCAAGCCCTGTGCTTCCACCACAAACCACTATGAAATTTTGCCTTCAGGTTTTTCTCTACTTAATTCGGCGGGTTCATGGAGTGAGCCACAACAAATAATTCAAGGCACAACCATAACATGTTGACTATACCAAATAGAGAAGGATAGGAAGATAAAATCAGAAACCAGTTCAATGGGATATTTTCAAAGAAACAAGCATATAAAGTATTTGAGTAGCTATATAAAGTGAGACATACCAGTAATACACAAAACACAGCCACCAAGAGCTGACCATGCCTTTGCACTGTTCCTCTTGAAAAAGTAATAAATATAAGCTGGATTGATTGCCTTTAGAACTGTGATATCATGCTTAAATAGGTTGTACATTCCAATAGATCCCAGACAGAAGAACCACAAAGCCAGTGCAGGTGCAAACATGAAACCTACTTTGCTAGTCCCAAACCTCTGTATGCTGAACAATCCCACAAGGATCACAATAGAAAGGATAACCACAGAATCTGTAAGTAATACAACTCAAATCAGTCAAAATTCAGTTTTGTATCTCACTACCACTAGCTCATAACCCTTGGCTTCTCAGACACAACATGTTACAATAGAAATCAAATTGATGGTGAATGACCAAAATTGTATCAATTAGATAGTACTACCCGTTTAATTGTGGAATTTTCTCATGGAAAAATGCATCTACATAGACCCTCCAGAAGAAAGTGATTGATCAAAAAGCTAGGATAGTGTAATTGCCTTGACTTTTTAAAATAAGTCAATTTATCAACAGAAATGTGCAACATTTTATAGTAGATAGGAAGGGTTCACCATTACTCATGCTATATTTCATTGAGAAAAGTGAAAAGAAAAGATTAATTTGAAAAATTCAAGGCCAAAAGCTACAAGTTCCATAAAATTAACTCTTAAGAGTCAACTTTCTAGAATAAATTTACCCACTTGTATCAACTCCCGGAATTTCACCTTGCAGGCCACTGACAGCAGACATTACTGTGACATAAAAACGAACAAAACAAGATGTATTAGCAAGATCCTAAGCAAGTTATCTTGCAACAATGTTAATAAAACTGATGCAACCCAACCATGGTATGACCTACTTAAACTATTATGAGAAGTAAGACAAATTTAGAAGGATTATTTATTTTGTTGTAAGAATTTTCTTTTGATTTATCTGCCCTCTGTTAGTTTGTTGTTTCAACAAAAATTATGTCAGTTAGATTTTGTGGAAGTCGGTTTTTTATGGTTTGGGGTCTGTAACAGCAATGGAACAAATGAATTTATGTGGCTAGTTCCATCCTTTGGACAGGATTTATTCCAATATAACTTGCTTCCTTGGTGATCAGACTCTTATTTTAAAGAATTTTCATCAGCATAATAGGCCAGTAGGCTGGATTTTACTTCCAACATGACATGTTTTTCCCAAGTACAATTTCTTACAGCTGAATATGTCATTAATCTTTTTTTACAATTTGATTATATATAGTAATTCTAAACTAAAAAATTGTTTTTGTTATAATCATCATCAAATCCATAAATTTGTTTATAAAATTAGCTTCTAAGGTATACATACTGCTATCTCCCTCTTTTGTCTTTTCCACTATTATTTATCTCAACATCTTCATATATTCAAAATGCTGTGAAGATGCTTATCTTGATAAATTAATTATTGGAATAATTAATCTTAACAAGTAACCGTTGTCTTTATTTACAAATAATTAAGTTATAGAGAACTAACCCAATTTTGTAAAAGAAAAAGAAACTGCAAACCGGCGTTACAGAAAAGTTAGGTAAGCCATTAATAATATATCATAGAAAATTAATTGGAAAAGCCAATTAATTTCTTAATAATAATAATAATAGGGGTGCTCACGGTTCGGTTAACCGAACCGTGGGGCACTTTTTGTAACCGAACCGGTAGTACCGGTTTTTGGAAAACCGGTAACCGAAACCTATCGGTTAACCGGTTGACCGGTTCAGTTAACCGTCAATTTTTCGGTTTTTTATTTTTTACAATATAAATTATAAAGATATATATAAATATATAATAAAAAATTCTAAATATATAAAATATTACATTTTAAATAATAAAAAATATATCATATATTATAAATATATATTTATATATAATGCATATTTATTAATTTATAATATATAAAAAATATAATATGCACAAATATATAGAAAATATATAGAAATATATGTATACCGGTCGGTTCGGCTAACTGCCGGTTTTCTATATTGGTTAACCGAAACGGAACTGGTACCTTCGGTTTTTTGAAAACACCAAACCGAACCGATTGGTTCGCTTAACCAATTTTTCAGTTCAGTTTTGGTCGATTCGGTTTTTTTTTTGCTCACCCCTAAATAATAAATTAACCATTTCGGGAAAAAATAATTGGGAAAAAATGTAATAGTTTAAAGTTATTAATTTCATTATTTTATAAAAGAAATCAAATAGTGTCTCTGAATTAAAATTTTAACTAGATTGGGATAATTCATAAGACAATATTTGCACCTTGGAATATTTGGTGGATATTTAGACATGCTTTTTCCTTCAACAGGAAAAAATAATTGTTTTGTATACATACATTATACATACACATATTTACATTATGTAGCTGATTAAGGTTGTACGTCAACCATGTTTATGTTGTACTCATTAGTAAAAGATGTATACAGTCAATCAATTATCTCTTACAAATTATGGATATGGCCAAATCCCTCCGAAAGAAAGCCTAATCAGGGAATGGTTTGTTATAGATAATAGATATACATATGACAAAATAATTTCTTCATGTCATAACTCATAAGTGGATGTTCTTGAGTTCCCTGTGCTATGGATCCTCAATTTTGCTTTTTCTTTTCTTACAAAAGATGGCCTGAAGGTATATTTAAAATTTATAAGTTTTCCAAATCTATCCTCAATTTCTCAAAATTTACAAATCTCAATTCATTTATAAAATATCCTATTTCCACAGGATGGTATTTTCAACAATATCAAAATCCCAAGCCTCACCAACATGTAAACATGCACAATTGACAGCAACATGCATGCTTCCTTCACCCTAAAAAATATATGACAAGTTTAAGAGAATAACTTTAGAAAATCAAGGTTGTTTTTTGGGCAAAAGATTCCTACAGTGTGGATTTAGATGGGGGAAGTATTTGAGCTTTTGGAAGCATCACTTTATGTGTGTCAGGGAACTTTAAGTCTACATTTGAGACTCAAGAATTGGCTTAACACTCAAGGGTTAAACCCTTAGAAATAATAATCAACTCTAGGATAGAATTGGCACAAACAATAAACATGAGAGTCTGCATTGTATCATGAATTCAATCAGCAATACACAAGAAGTCTACAAGCATCAAATAAAACTCTTTAATTCCAAATTCCATCATATCATGTGCCACACTTTATACCCATCTATATAGAGAAAAGGAATTGGTCAAACATGATATACAGAATGCATTTATCTTTTCAAATTGAGAAAGAAACAGGGACCACTTATTAAAAAAAAAAACTTGCATTTCTAATAAAATCAAAAACCAGCTGATGATCCAGTAGCTGATATGGTCACTCGTATCACATCAAAAAAGGAGGTACAGGATCAAACTCATAGAAAGTGGGCCTCATGTGCACCCTACTCTGTCACCACTAATTTGTTCTATGTAATACCCAAAAAAAAAATGAAAACTTCGACACAAAGATCTCCTAATTTCTAGAATAAGCCAAGTAAACAAATTAGAACTTGTAAAATCTAGCAAATGGGAACCGTGGGAAGATTCTACAAGCTGTAAGGCAAGCCCATCCAAGAAGTTCTCCAAGATATTCTAAAAAATATAAAATTTAAAAAAAAAAATCCAAGAAAGAAGTGCTATGCCCATTGTGAACAAACCCTAGTTGTTTCTAGGTCAAAGTAGAGAAGAAGAAAGAAGAAAGAAAAGAGAAAGAAGAAGAAGAAGGAGAGAAGTATTCGGCCAGACTAGAAGAGAGGATGTACAAAAGTACCTCTCCTAGCCGACCCACT